GTTATTGGGCCGAATCTCTCTCGTGTTTTGTTTACAGTTACAATCGCAGGTTATCTTCAGCGATTGGTTGTACTCCTATGAGAAGATGTTTGGCAAGAAGCCATACATCAAACACATGAAGATTTTTGGTTCTGACATGTGGGTTCGCTCACCACAAAACTCCAAGTTAGACAAGCGTGGATTGCATGGTATCTTTCTAGGTTATCAGAAAGGGTCTTACAGAATAATGATGACTGACTCTAAGACAATTAAGCTCACGAGAAGTGTCGAGTACAATGCAAAGTGGGGGAGAATGTGGGAATTTTCCAATGTTATCCTGATGACGGTGATGAGACTGAGGATAGTCAAAAGCAACCACAACAGCCCACACCCACTGATGAAGGTTCTGAGTCTGAATCTGAAACTGAATCGGGTGATTCAGAGGATTTCAAGAGTGCGAAAGCCTCTATGCGACCCTCTGAAAGCTCTGATCAAGAATTGGAGGAACCATTGTTCACAATAGGTCGTTTTTCTCCTAAGAAGGAAGAGGAGAGTGTTGAAGACTTAAGGCTAATTCGTAGGTCACAGAGAGCCACAAAAGCAAACCTCCAAAGAGATTTGCTGATGAGTTTGCTACGATAGCAGTAACAGCTGTTAAAAGCTCCAAGAAGGTATTTGAACCTTCAAGTTTCCAAGAAATCCAGGGTTTGGATTCAAAGGAAGCTGAGCCATGGTTAAATGCCATGAAGGCTGAGCTTGATTCCTTAGAAAGGAACAAAACATGGGAGCTAGTTCCAGTAGTTCCAGGAATGAAACTGCTTGGAAGCAAATGGGTCTTCAAAGCGAAGACAGATCAAAATGGCAAGATAGTCAGACACAAAGCCAGATTGGTAGCCAGAGGTTTTGCACAGGTACCAGGTGAAGACTATCACGAGACCTATTCACCCACAGTGAGATATGAAAGCATTAGGCTTATGCTTAAGCTAGCTGCAGAGGAAAATCTACACATTAGTCACCATGATATTAATACAGCTTTTCTGTACGGATCTCTAGATGAATCACTTTATATGCTTCCACCTGATGGCGTACAGGTAAAACAGGGATTTGTTTGTGCTCTGAAGAAATCCCTTTATGGTCTCAAACAAAGTGCACGGTGTTGGCACACAAAACTCACTGAAGTATTGTTTTCTCTAGGTTTTCAGCAAGGGAAAGCTGATCCATGTGTATTTGTCAAAGAGGAGGGGCAAAAGAAACTGTACTGTTTGTTTTATGTTGATGATTTATTATTCTTTTGGAAAGATGTTGCAATGTACAATAGCGCCCTAGCTCAACTGAAAGAGCACTTTGACATGAAAGATCTTGGTGAGGTAAACAACTACCTATCTCTGGAAATAGAGAGAGATCAAGATGGTAACATTCTAGTACACCAGTCACGGAAAATTGCTGATGTGTTAAGCAAACTAAATCTGATGGATGCTAACCCTGTAGACACACCGATGACAACAGGTTATCAGGTAGATGACACTGAAGAAGCATTTTCTGACACTACACTGTACAGGTGTGTGCTAGGCAAGCTAAACTTCATTGCCAGATGTTCAAGACCAGACATTGCTGTTAGCTGTAATTTGCTAAGCAAACAAGTCAACAATCCTCGTGTCAAGGATTGAAAGCTCTGAAACGCATAGCGCGGTATTTGAAAGGCACTATGCATTACAGACTGAGATTTAACAATCAAAAGTCTGGTGGTCTTGAGATATTTGCAGATGCAAGTTTTGGAAGTGACACTACAGACAGGAAAAGTACGTCTGGAGTTTGCTACATGTACAATCAGAGTCTGTTTGATTGGTCATGCAAGAAGCAAACAACAGTTAGCTTAAGTACTTGTGAAGCCGAACTGAATGCACTGTCTTATTCACTTAAGGATTGTGAATGGTTGGTACAATTGTGCAAAGATATGAAAATTCCTGTCAAATGTCCAATCCAGGTTTACCAGGACAACAAAGCATGTTTGGCTTTGCTGAAGTCTGAAGGTTGTAAGCAAAGCACAAAGCACGTGCAATTAAAGTTGCAGCATGCTAGGGAATGTATTCAGAAGGGACTCGTAACGGTGTCCTATATGCCAGGTAATGAAATTCCTGCTGATGTATTGTCCAAGATTGTATCGAGGGATCAACACTGTACCTATGTGCAGAAGTTGGGTTTGTACTGATATTGTGCAAACACGCTGCCCAGTGATGTTCACAGAAAGGGGGAGGATGTTGGTTTCTGCTTTCCTTCACTGTGCAGCTCTGCTTGTCACGAGACAGGTGTTTACATTCCACAGTCTGTACTGTTGGAGTTTCTCACGGGAAAGGGAGACTGGATGTGACGTACACTGGTTTCCTGTTTTTCACTGTGTGATTCTCTCCGAGCTGTCGAGGAGAGAGGATGCATTTTCTGCTCCGGCAGAGGCAAGATGTCTTTCTGTAATATACCAGCTTTGAACTGTAAATAAAGCAATATAGAGTATGCAGCACGTATTCCTCATCCTTCCACTGGGCACGACAGACTCTGCTTTAAATCAACAGTACAGTGGTACCTCGGGTTACAGATGCTTCAGGTTACAGACTCCGCTAACCCAGAAATGGTATCTTGGGTTAAGAACTTTGCTTCAGGATGAGAACAGAAATCGCGCGGCGGCAGCAGGAGGCCCCATTAGCTAAAGTGGTACCTCAGGTTAAGAACAGTTTCAGATTAAGAACAGACCTCCAGAACGAATTAAGTTCTTAACCTGAGGTACCACTGTATACAAAATTACCCACAACAGAATATGCTAAACTTGCTGAAGAAAATCACCACTTTAGAACATGATCTAGTCTGTCTTTGTTTGAAAATGAGCAAATCGCTTCTCGGCCTTTTGGCTAGGATCAAGTGTAGTATCTGTTCTTATCAGTTTAATATCTGACTTTCAATAGTGCTTTATAGAATATATTAGAATATATTTACAGCTAACCTTTTCCACCTGGCCTAGGGGGCGGGGCCCAGACTCACCAGCCCCACTGAAGAGGCTCCTGGTGAGACTGGAGGGACATCGCTATGCCTGGCAACAAACCCTAATAGTTGGGTTCCTTTGCCCCACCTTTTTGTGCCTGACAAACAGCCATGTCATGCTTATGATAATATTTTATTCTCTTGTTAACTATGCTGTTTTAAATGTACATTTTATATTTGATTTAGTGATGTTTTGTTTTAAATGTTTAAGATTTTTTTTGGTTAACTTTGTTTGTGTTAAATTTGTATTCTGTAGTTGAGCTCCTTTGTAATGTTTTATTTTGAAATCTTTAAGATAATATTTTTGTTTCCTCTTAATTATGTTGCTTTGACTGTATACTTTACATTTGTCTTTCTTCAGAAATGTTTGATTCTAGATTGTTTTGTTGATGTTTAATATGCTGTAAACCGCTTTCCAACAACAACAACAAATATTTTAATGTTATTTTTCACCTATATAATGCATACCACCTCATTTTGTATTGTTTTTAATATTTGATTGGGAGCCGCCCAGAGTGGCTGGGGAGACTCAGCCGGATGGGTGGGGTATAAATAATAAATTATTATTATTATTATTATCATCATCATCATCATCATCATCATCATCATTTTCTACACCTTATTAGGCTAGAGAACTGCACTGAAAAATTTGGAGAAGCATGATTTTTCAAGGAAGGCTGCGTTAAGTGTTGCATATTGTTCTGGAAAGTGTGGATTGCATGGTTGTGCTTCTCAAAGCGAATTGAATGAAATATCACCCCATCCTTACAGCAAGCATGCCTGACCGGATATACCACCCTCCCCGACCCCTTTTTGAACTATTTGTAGCTGGCAGCCCTGCTCACAGAGGCCTCCTTCAGCAGGGCACCTTACAATGGCAAAAACACTGGATGTGAGCCACAGCATTTTAATTTTCTCCTCCTTCAGTCACTAAGTGCTTAGAACCTTCTGGGAAAGGACCTGTTGCTTCAGGGCATGTGCAGAATATGATCCCCAGTGGGTGAGGCACTTAGTCCAAGTCCCAGCTGGTTGCATAAGGAAACTCTCTCTCTCTCAGACACCCACCCATTATGTGTTGCCAGATATCCATTTCTGTCCTCAGTGCATGGAAGTCAAAATGATGGGGCCCCACAGCTCTTTATTTTACAAATGTATCCTAAAACCTCCTATCCTTCTAGGTGCCCACCTCTGCCCACCTTCCAGCTTGTCAACATCCTTCTTAAATAGTGGTGCCCAAAACTGGACACAATATTTCAGGTGTGTTCTGACCAAGGCAGACTAGAGCAGGAATATTACTCCCCTTGATCCGGACACTAGATTTCTGTTGATGCAGCTGAGAATAGCATTTGCCTTTTTTGTTGCTGCACCACAGTTGACTCTTCTTGAGCTTGTGGTCCACCAAAACCCCTAGATCCTCTTCACATGTACTGCTAGTAAGCCAGGTGTCCCCCATCTTATATTTGTGCATCTGGTTCTCCATGCCTAAGTGCAGAACCTTACATTCGTCCCTTATGAAAGAGATATTGGTAGTTTGGGCCCAGTTCTCCAATCTGTTGTCTTGAGTTCTGATTCTGTCTTCTGTGGCATTAGCTACGCCTCCCAGTTTGGTGTCACCTGCAAATTTGATGAGCATCCCTTCAGTTCCTTCATCCAAGTTGTTTATAAAGATATTGAACAACAACAGGCCAAGGAGAGAACCCTGTGGCACCCAACTTGTCACTTTTTCCCAGAATGACGAGGAACCATGAAGGAGTACTAGTTGGGTTCAGTCAGTCAGCTACAAATCTACCTAACAGTTGCCTCATTCAACCTACATTTTACTAGCTTCCTTGTGAGAAACTAAACACAGTTTCCTTGGAGGAAATGAAACACAGGAAAATAGGAGATCATTGGGGGCACACTATGGAATTAAACTCTGAATAAAGCATCCCCCATATGGGAAGACTGAACTTTTGACTGGAATGAATGGGGCCTTCCTTACATTGACTTCCTCAGAGGTTCTTCACTGAGATCATTCTGAGGATCCTGCTGTAGATCTGCTTTGTTTTGATGCTGTAGATGATGGGGTTCATCAGGGGTGGGAGGAGGATGTAGACATTACCCATGATGACGTGGAGTAGGGCAGGGGCATGCTGTCCAAACCGGTGTACGATGGAGAGCCCAAGCACTGGGACGTAGAAGACCAGGACGGCACAGATGTGGGAGACACAGGTGCCCAGGGCCTTATGGTGGCCCTGGTTGTCAGAGGCCATGCCCAGGACAGTCCTCAGGATGAGGCCATAGGAGATGAGGATGAAGAGCAGGTCAGAACCCATGGTGAGGAGGATGAGGATGAGGGCATAGAAGCTGCTGAAGGTTGTGTCGGCGCATGCCATGCGGAGCAAGTCCTGGTGCAGGCAGTATGAATGGGAAAGGGTTGCATCTGGGCAGAAGGGGAACTTCAGGAAGAAAGGCAAGGGCGGCATGAGGAGAACAGTGCTCCTTAGCAGGAGGACCAGCCCAATTCTGACCACTCTGCTGGAGTTCAGCAGCGCTGTGTACCTCAGAGGAGAGCAGATGGCCAGGAATCGGTCCAGGGCCATGGCAAAGAGCACAGCTGACTCCATGAAGGAGCAGGAGTGGATGAAGAAGATCTGCGCTATGCAGCAGGGCTTCCTGATCTTCCTCAGCTGGAACCAGAGGACGCCCAGCACTGTGGGCGCTGTGGCGAGGCAGAGACCCAGGTCAGTGGTAGCCAGCATGGCCAGGAAGTAGTACATGGGCTGGTGCAGACTGGGCTCCGTCCTTATGATGTAGAGGATGGTGCAGTTTCCTAGGATGGCCGCCAGGTAGGCAAAAAAGATGGGGATCCCGATCCAGCCATGAACCGCCTCCAGCCCAGGGAAGCCCCTCAGGGCAAATTCTGTGGTCGTGAGGTTCGCAGGAGTGGACATTGCCATGAGGAACTTCAAGGAATGGCTGCCACTTCGGAGTAGAACACTCCTTGTGCGGCTCACAATAAATCTTATCATCGGCCTGTTTCCACTTCAAAGGCAATTAACAAGCTGCTAGAAGTTCCTGGTCTCCTATTAATGGGACAATGGAAAAGGATTTTCCATGCCCTAATGGCTGCCAAAAGGTTGATATTAAGGAACTGGAAAAATAAAGATACGAAACCCTTCAATCAATGGGCTGATGATATGACATCACTGTCAGTTGATGAACGGACTGCTTAGAGGCGCAGGCTCTGTATGGATAAATGTGATAACATTTGGAATGAGTTTATACAAAATGCAGTAGGCTATTAGCATTTACATAAGCACTAGGACAACCACACTATACCAATTTATGCAACAATGTATGGGAATATCGTACAGTGGTACCTCGATTTTTGAATGCCTGCATTGATAAACATTTAGGTTTTTGAATGCCGTAAACCCAGAAGTAAATGCTTTGGTTTTCAAACATGCCTCCGAAGTTGAACATGCTACACAGCTTCCGTATTGAGTTTTCCGTATTGAAGTTTCTGTATTTGCTTGTTGTTGTTGTTTTTTGTTGTATAATTTCATTTTTAAATGTATCTTTGTTGATGTTTTTCTCCCTCTAACTTTTCCTTCTTCCCCCTCCGTATCACTTTATTTCTTTTTACTGAAATCACCTTAATAAAATATAAATATTATAAAAATAAATAATTAGAATATAATAAATGAATAGCAAAGCAATGGCTACCACTTCCTCTGTGAAGAGGACAGAGGTAAGTACCACCATCAGAATCCACTGTGGGGACATTCCACTGCCAGAGTTTAAGATTTTGCAGTTTATGTATCTTAACTGAAAATGAGAAGAAGAAGAAGAAGAAGAAAGAAGAAGAAGAGGAGGAGGAGGAGGAGGAGGAGGAGGAGGAGGAGGAGGAGAAGGAGTTTGGATTCGATATCCCACTTTATCATTACCCAAAGGAGTCTCAAAGCGGCTAACATTCTCCTTTCCCTTCCTCCCCCACAACAAACACTCTGTGTGGTGAGTGGGGCTGAGAGACTTCAGAGAAGTATGACTAGCCCAAGGTCACCCAGCAGCTGCATGTGGAGGAGTGGAGACGCGAACCCGGTTCACCAGATTACGAGTCCACCACTCTTAACCACTACACCACACTGGCTCTCAGTGAGGGGCTGCCAACCTTCCTCCTTTACTTGCCAGCCACATCTACCCACAACCCTCTTTGCCAAGTCACCTTCTCCAACACCTGGCCCACCCCTCCTCCCTTTACATATCATTCCCACCCTGCTTTACCCCTCTCCTATCCTGTCTCTCCTTCCCTTGCAAGTTGCCCCAAGGCCCTTTCCCTCCTCTCACAGCTCACCCCACCCCCACCTCCTCTTAAAGGAGGGGGAGGCACTTGGGAGAGTGTTTTTCTGAAGTGCCTGCCCTCCTCTGTTAAAAGCTTAATGTACTGGGTTAGGCACTTATGCCAAACCACTCTGAAGAAACTCTCCCCCCCACACACACACCAGTTGAAGTGTGATGCCGTCATGTTTGCATGACAACAGCCTTGCATTTTTATGTATATAGGAGGAAGATATTTATACCACACCTGAGCCAGCAGCTAAGAATATGATGAAAACTATGATGAAAAGCAATCCCTTAACAAGCACATAAAAGGAGAGAAGAGCAGAAATAACAAGAACTTTGCTTAAAGGTCACATGACCTTACAGGAAAGGTCCTGTTCTCCTTGCCCACCTTGCTTCCTTTCTCCACAGGGAACAGAATATCACACAGGTCCTATAGATATTCAACTGGTCCCAGTCTATTTAAGCTTTTCTGTGTCAAAATTCGTGCCTGGCATTTGTCCGGAAACAAACTGATAACTGGTGCAGTAGATCTTTACATTGCAAGTGCCGTTCCATCTGTACACTGTTCCTTCCACTACAGCTTGTGTTCATTATTTTTTGGGGTGTGGGGCTGGTGCAAACTCTGCAGCTAAAGGGGCTGGCTCTCTGCACACTCCATAGCCATGTTTTGTTTCACCTACCTTGTTTCCAAGGATGCTGCCCTCGCCACTCCAGACTGGGGATGGAAGAAACCCTTGTTTCTAGGTGAACCCTGGAAAAGCTACACTCTAAGCAGGCAGCACAAACATACATTGACGTTCGTCAAC